AAGTCGGAAGTCAACTAAAGATCTAATGATAACTATCAAAACGCCTGCCGTTTGATATAAATAAATATGATATCAGGACTCTCATTGAATGTGGTGTGACCAAGTGTGTTTCATTTATCTAAATCGTTTCAGTTTCTCTTTAAATTTCTTTGTTATAACAAGGAAATCGATTCCTTTAAACCACTACATTGAAAGAGTTAGCTATTTTAATTAATGCATGATCTTCGTTGATAGAGGAAAACTGTTTATTCTATTATTATAACTAGTGTCAGTGATAAAGTAAATGGTCTCACAAATTCTAACATAAAATATAGTGTATCTGGGAGGAGACAAAAATAATGAATCAAAAGATTGGATTGGATCACCAGGGCTCTTAATTTACTAGATTTGTAAAGATGCTGTAGCGTCCACCTTCTCAAACAAGGCATGATTCGCTCCTCAATGTCCATTGTTTAAAGTCTCAAATTGCATGACCTTATCGATACTCAGGACTCATAAAGATAACTAAAACTAATTAAATGATCGAGCTAATCGATTTATTTCCTACAATATTGCATTCGATTAGTTCAATGAACATTGTTGCTTCAGCTTTAACGGATCTTAAGTAAGACGGTCCTTTATAGTCACCAAATATAAGAATAGTAGCATTAACTTCGTTAATGTTAATATTAATAAAGTAATTCTTTTACCTTTTTTAATTAACATAAGTGTGAGAAGAAAAGATTAAAGACTCTCAAGCTTTGAGTAAAGCTAAAAGAACACTTCCTTGTAGATCCGGGAAATGCCGTGATAAGTCTAGTAAAGTAAAGTTCATTACTATAAAATTCATCAATCAACGTTCAAATAATTAAATGTTCCAACAAAAATTGTTTATAATGACATTAATCTCAATTGCGGGAATATTGAAAATTCTATAGCTCTTTCGAGTAGTTTAACCAATTAGTTCAAGATGAATAAAATAAAATTACAACTTCAAGTAAATGTTGAACTATTTGTTTTATTAAACGAAGATTGGATGTACTATTCCGACGAACTTTATAATATACAGAATAATTATCACATAATAAAATTAAGGTTTAAGGAAATTCGAAAAGGAATTTCTTCATAAAGCCCATGCACTTTGAGAGCTTATTGGTTTGAAGGCATTTTGTTAGACAACAATCAGTCTATAGGCATTAATTAAATTTACTTAATTATGAATCGATTCTCTTTAAAATAAGCCTGAACAAGTGATAGAACATAAGTATCCAATAAGGGTCGCAAAATAACAGTTGAGAAATTACACTTGGCATTTCTATAAGAGTTCACCTTAAAAGTGTATTATAATTCAGGAGGGTTTATGTTGGCTTTGCCCAAAGAATGCCAATTAGTTGATTTGATCAAACATATGATTACAAAATTGAACTCGTCGATGCGCTTACCAATGTATTGGACACACATGGCTCACTAGAAACGTAATTTATCCCCTTACGTATGAAATATGCCCATTTCTTAATATTTCTGTGTTTTAAATATCATTAGAAACCTTACACTTTGTTTAGAAGTTACTAGAGCATCTTAATATCGATCAGGTTCACCAATTATCTAAAACTGGAAAAATTCGTTTGGCTTTCAAGGATTCCGCTAAGATAATTCTGATTTGACAGGTGAATATTTGGAGAATTTTTGCTGGTAGCTCATTTGAATTAAATCAACAGTGATACACTCCTTAAGGACTAAGTGAATATCGGTTGGTGATGACCTACTCAAGTCTCAAGTGAGTAATATTTTAAGGTCAATTTTATATTGCTGTAAATATTAGATTGTTCGATTACTTGAGTTCGACCTTGCTATCCCAATGGGAAAAAGGAGTTAATTTTAAGTTCATTTGCTCCCAAAGCAACTTAATGCACAAATATCCTCAGTTTATATTTGCCAACTGATACCCCCATAGGCACCTGTTGAGCGCAAGCAATCGGCATAAACTTGGATGTTTAATAACCTTTCTGAAATAAGCACTTTCAGTTCGGTTATTATTAAGTCACCAGTAAACTCAAAATGTTCCATTGTTCAGAGAATGAGATCAAATTGTTCTATTTTATTAATCGGGGTTTTGTTGAAATTTTTTAAAATGCAGGAGCTCAATGCTCGTAGTGTTTAGATTTTGAAGAAAATGTCTAACTGATTCTAGAGAGTATTACTACGCAGTCTGCATGCTTTGTGATGAACCTTTGCACAAATTATTTATATTAAAGCGTTAGTTCGATTTTAATAGGCAACGAAAATATTCTTTTGTAAATGGACTCTAACTCTAAGACAGCTATTTGATGGATATCTGTAGAAATAAACTTTATGGGGGGGGGGTTAAAACATTACCTTATTAATTGCAATTTTAATGCAATAACTAAATCGAAAGCCTTATCACTATGTCTGGAAGACGGTAAGTCAAATAACTTGGTAAATCATTATTCTCTTTTTTAAACTCCACTTTAAACACTTTTTACAAAGCTTGCTGTGCTTAACACCCGGGGAAATAAAGGGGAACTTGTCTTAATGTCAAGAAAGAGTGCTTTTTATTTATCATGACAGAGTAAACAAAAAACATGGAAAGGGATATGTGGATAGCTTAGCTTTAAAATGCAATTGTCCAGTAATCCACACGAATGTTTTGTGGGTGTTCGATAATCAGAGGTTGAATGATAACTTGCGTCTCTTTTGAGATATTATGATCAAAATTTAAACTTAATTTCCAGTCGATTAACAGTGAACATATGTTGCCTATAACTGGTGTGCCCAAAATGTGCGTAATCTACTCATCAATTTATAAATGGCATTCACAGAATGAAAGACATTATGATAATCAATCAAGAATTGCAAATTTTGGTCACATCTGGAGTTCTGATGAGTAAATTTGTACTTATCGATTGTAAGTTGCTTAGCAATGTCAATATGTACGTCCGGCACAAATTGAATATCTCATTTATGGCACATACTTAAGTTTTCATTGCAGAAATATGTCACTGTAACGAAGTGAACCATAATACATTTCTTTGTGCATGAACAGTTCATTTCGAAATGTTAATTTGTAAATGTTAGCAAAATAAAGCAAAACTGATATTTTGTGTTTCTTTCTCTTTTTAAACTATCGGCATGCTGATTAAAAAGACGGTTGCTTAGAAGAGGAAAAAACCTTAACACTCTTCCAATCCCTAAAAACCAATATTCCTCGAGCGCAGTGAAAAAACTCGATGGAAACAATTATAGTAGTACCTCTCAAGGTATTGTCAGCATTCTAAGAGAGTAATCCCGCTTATCTTTTGATAAGTCCGCAAAAACGGCAGGTTGATCAAATCAATGGAGAGTAAACTTACATTAAATTAAAGAATATTTTCTATAGAGTAATTCCTCAATTAAATATTTCTTTAATTTCCCCTATTTAAGTCGCGCTTCCACTGACTCTATATTAGTGAAACACTCTCTTTCGATTAAAGTGAATAATTGAATGTTTCAGAAATTATTTTTTGACCAACAATGTTAATTTTAAAAAAGAGGTATAGATTGTAACATTATCTATATAACTGACCGCTGTGAAAATCGAACAACGATGGAAATTAACAAACACAGAAACAATACCATTACCATGAGGAAGGGGAAGGAATTAAATTTTATGATCAATCAACAGGTTCGAACAACAAATCATTTATAAAGATGAGTTATTAAGGAAAAAATTAAGAGACACTTTGCGAAGCTTTCAAGGTCAGCTTGCGATAACAATGATTTTGACGTCATGTTTAACTGGTAAGTAAAAGTAATAATCGTTTCATATAAAATATAATATCCATGCATTCAAGGAGGCTGACCACCAAAACTGTAATGACCTTTAGGTATTGAAAAGTGTTTTTTGCTGGTGAAATACAGACTTTGGAGATTTTAAACATATCACGTTACTTTCTACCAAGCTAAGTAAAATTAATGTATCGATTTTAAACCATTTCCACCTTAAGCATAAAAGAAGATTTACCCAATTAAGGGTAAAGCTTTCTACATTTGTGTAAAGAAAGTAAACATGCGAATGTAAACGATTTTTATTTATTGCAAAGGTTAAAATATAAATCAACCAATCCCACAAAGAAAGAACAGAAGACATGCACATAATACAATTCTTCACATGCATGACGAAATAAAATCCTAATGAATAACTTTCGAGCAGAGGATATATACAATAAATAAACCTAAATGAGTATTTGGAAAATTGGAAAATCTTTGAGAAAAATATTGTTTGCGTCGATATGACAGTAGTTTTCAACATAGGACATAAATTTTAATTCAATTAAGCAAGTAAACTTTTCAGTTTTATTCTTAGAAAGAAATCGTCAAATCAAAGTTGAATGAATAATAAATCCAATAGTGTCAAAAATTAAAAAATTGAAATGGCGATGCGAATTTGGACCATTCTGAGAAAACCAAAGCCAATATCTGCGGATATTATGCTACAATATATATTTTTTGTGGTTTTAATTCAATCATCTCTTTCTAATGAAAATAAAATAACCAACGCATCCAGTAATTGTACTGTTTTGTAAATCCAGTTAGAAGGTATACCCAATTGAGGCTTTCTTAACTTTACCTGGTGTTATGAAAACCTGTTAACACCAAATAAGTAGGTAATGGTAGTAAAATTACAAGTGGCAAGCACCTGAAAGCAGATTTTTTAAAAGATAACGTGGCAAGTAAACGCATGGAAAATTGATTATTTTAATTTAAATAAAAGAATATTTTCACTTTTATTTTATTTAAGCACTTTAACTGAACATATATTCTATACGTTTATACTTCGTTGGAATTGCATTATTAAAGAAGAACATCATCAATATAATTTAATGAAATTAGATTAAGTAGTTGATAAACCGTTTAAAATTATATATAATCAGATTTTATATTTTAAGCAAAATGACTAAATTGGAAAATGACCTTGAAATGTGAGTCACAAATTAAGCCTGTTCGCTAGTGCGCACGATCTAATGGACTTGTTTGTCTGGCCTGGTGTCAAGGGTCTTGATTCCTTTGATACTGATTGTCTAGTTGTCTTGGTAAATTAAATATATATTTTTAATATTTAGACTTATCTTCGTTTAGGCAAGTGTCGCATAAATCTCAATACTTGCAGGGAATACAACAATGAAACAATAGAAAATACTCCATTTCTTGCTCATGGAAATAACGAAATCGCCGGAGTTTCGAATATCATTGAGTATTTGCGGAAGGAAAACTATGGATTAGAATATGATTTATCTGAAGAGGAGAGAACTCGACTTGATTCTCTAATCGCATCAGTTGAGCGACGTATTGCGCCAGCATGCCGGTGGTTTCTCTGGGCTGATCCAAATGTTTACGGATACTATACTTCTCCCCTTTATCGAGCTCATCTTTCTTTTCTTCAGGGTCTTTGGTATCCACGTCGATGGCGAGATCAGTTCATAGAATCTGCTAAATTTTCTCAACTAGTTCTCAGTACTGATCGCGTTAATTCAAGAAATCAGAACAAAGGAGTTGAATCTACGGTATTTCCTTTTTCATATGAATCCGTTAAATTATATCCATTTATATTTAGAATATGCTTACTTTTTAGCTTTATGAGGGTGCAAGGCGATGTCTAACTGCTCTTTCATATATTCTTGGCAAAAATCAATACTTTCTCGGTGATAGGTATGCTTGCTCTTTTATGTATTATTCTACGTATATTTTTGAGCTATCTATTATTTTGCGATCGTGTTCCTAATTCTCTAATGCATATCACAAAAGTTCCCTATTTTGTATTGATAAGAATTAAAGCTTGTTGGTTCACTATACCTGTATTTTCATTTTTTTGTATTTATTAGTTAATTTGTGTTGGATGAATGTATTTGAATAGGCTTTAAAACGTGTATATAGTATTTGAATCGTAGTTACTGTTAGTTTATATGTTTGGCTTTACTGTGAAAATTTCACTAAGTTCATTTGTTGTAACTGACTAGAATTCCCCTCAGAACGGTTCCAGGATGACTTTATTATTCAAGTTGGATGTCTGAAAATACTTCCTCAAAATATTTTGGACCTATCCTAATTTGAATATGCAGCAGTTATGTCAAGATAGTTAATTCCTTTCACATGTTTTCTCGTTTTTCTCCTTTTCATTTTACTGTTCACATCATTTATATCAATTTGAGTATTTTAGAAAGCAACCCTGGCCTGTATGTTATTTTCCGAAAGGGTTCATTTTTTTGACTATTTATGAATAAATGTAAGTAATATCACTTATATTTTTTGCATTGTAGACCATCAGCTATCGATGCCTACATTTTTGGGCGCCTATGGCCTCTACTTAATTACGATCGGATGTGTCGATCTACCATCACGGGCAAAACTCCCCATAGATTAGTTTCTTACGTGTATCAAAATGAAAATCTTATCAACCTTTGTCGTAATATCCAACGCACTTGTTTTCCTGCTGCTGCTAGCACCTTTCGGTCTTGTGAGTTCCTTTCGATTTCCCTTCCACGAAATCATTGCTGAGCTGTTTGTTTGCGTCTAATTCAGTTTTAGGTATTGTCGTAAAAAGTATCTGTTCCACACCACCTTTTTACTATTACTTGATACAAAAACACAATTTTGCTCGAACATTGGTCATATTTCCCATTTAATAGGTTTTGGTATAGGCGTCGTCAAAAAATCTTATTCTATTATATTTTAGGTATTTTTCTCGCATTTAAAGCGGTCTTGCATAAAAACCAAAAAGCACAATCAGATTTTTTTGGATATGTGAAAAGATCTCAATGGGCCTACTTTACCTTGTAATAACTTTTACAAAGTAATCGCTTTATCTCAGAATATAGAATAGATGTCACCACCCATATCAAAGAGCTTGCTTAGAGTGGGATGTTTGGTGTACTCACCTTCCAAATGATGAAATGCAGCTAAGATGAAACAAAGTTATTTGAAATAGGAACCCGAGGTTTATCAATCATTATATTACCTTTAGTTCTTGGAATGTGAAGATTACATCCGTGCTACTTTTTAGGTAGATGGAAATCTTGATTCTGAAAACAACCACTTCTGTATAGTTCAAGATATTATTAACGTAGTTTTGCTTGTTAGGCCCTAATGGCTATGGGGTTTCGTTATTTAAATGAGCTGTAATAGTACGCACTGGATCCCAGGTATTGGTTCTCGAGAACGGAGGCTTATTTGAGCATCATTTTCATAAACCCGTGGCGCACAAACTACTCCCATCTTTTGGTTTACAGAGTCATAAGATCGCATAAACTGCATATCGCAACTAGTTAATTGTCCTTTAGCAATATGAGAGCTCCTTTAGCTCAATTTTCACCATCTTTCCTATCTTACTCCTAACAAAGCTGAACCCCCTCAAATGTCCTAAGGATGGGAGACTGTATTGCCGAAAGCGAAAACAGCAAGAAATAGTCAGTATTTCGTTGATGAGTCAATCGAGTCTCCCTCCAATCAATGAAAGATTGATAGCGAGACGTCAATCTCTCCAACTTTTTTCGCCCTTATTAATTATTACCTACAGCAGTGCAGAGGTCTCTTAGATTTTAACTGTAGTATGACATCTAAACACGCAAAATTATCCAGTTAGGAGGTCGAAAAGGTATATAAAATTAAGTCAAAATTTCAAGCTTTTTTCATTTCCCTAATGTTTCTTTGGGTTTCTTGGTGAGCCTGATTGTTTGATTTAATTAAATAGTTAAGATAAGATGTTAGCAACTAACAATCACACTCCTGCGTCAAGTAGAATACCGCGATTCGAGTGGGTGCTAAGGTCTATTAAATAAAGCGATAAATTTCAATATAGGGCAGGGCAGTGGGGGAGGACCGTATTAATAAATAAACGACAAGTGGGTGCATTTGAAGGAAGGGCTTTATGTTGATTTATAAGGTAGGAGATAAAAAGTCTAAATGCTACCATTCATCGCTGGTAGGAGGAACTGCATTCAGCGGAGCTCTTATCCCACTCATTAAGATTAACTACTTGTAGACCAAATTATAACTCTAGAGAAACCTGAATTACCTCATTACTACCACTCTGGGCTTGGGCAAGAACTTTAATCGTCATCGTGAGGCCAGAATGTCTGGATCCCAGAGGTTAGTAGTGATCTATATAAAATACCCTTTCGTTCTAAGTTAAAGTGTATGAAACCGGTAAAAGCATTTTGAACATTGCCCAGCTCATTTGATTTCGCTCATAATGAACTCTAGTCAAATTTTCTTGCTGTGTAGGCATGTGAAAAATAGGGCGAGAATGGGCAATCCTATTAGAAATATTAGGTGGTTACTTTTCAGTTTCAACTAGTTGCTTTATCAGTTCTTCTCTTGTCGCTTATTGAGGGTTTGAGTTATTTAAAGTAAGTTGAACGCTTTGATTATCTGTTTCTGAAATAGCAACTTATTCTCGTGTTTCTATTTCAGCGCTAAATGAAAGGGCAGAAGGTGAAGAAAACCTTGGCACAAGTCGTTGGTGGTTTCCCACGTATTTTCCAGGCATGAACACAAACATTCCGTCCATATTGCCGGCTTGTTTACTCCCCTACCGAGATGTCATAATCTTTGGGTCTCTATCCTTGGCTCTCTTTGGAACCTTTGCTGTTGCCTCGGGTTATATTGGATTTGAAGAAGAGGAGGGTCAGGGTTATGACGACGTTGGTGAAGGCAACGGTGGTGATGATGATTATGTCGAATAGGTTGCCATGTATAGTGTAGTAAATCATTTTTTGAGCGATCAAAATAGATGTTTTTGCAAGAAATGTGTTTTATTGGAATGTTTTAAGTACGAAGGCGAAATTATTGCAATTTATTATGCGTCATGAGCTTAGGCAATGGGCTTCCAAAAGAGATACTTAAACTCGATTAGGTAGGGCGAATGGCTATTTACTCAAAGTACATAGACACTTATGGAACCTTTCGGATATATTTATTGGTGCCAATTTACTGAAAAAGCCCCTTAGTTAATTTTATTTCACTTCCATCTATTAAATTTTTGCCGGTTCATCAATTTTAGCCTTCAGTCTAGCTCAAAGACAGAAAAATAATTTTGAAAAGCGAGATATAGGCCTCAAAATACGTTGTCGCCAATGGGAAGTTTGCAATTTTTAATTATTGGAGAGCAATAGGTGGGTAGACAAGAAAGGGGAATTGAAGCTGGGAATGAAGTCAGAATGTCGAGAGTTATACTCCATCAATTGCGTCTCGAATTTTGTGAATTTGCTCCATTGCTACTAGATTTTGTGCATTAGTGCTAAGTGATAATCTGGACATGGTAATTGAGGGATAGGAAAATGCCAGCTGCTTTTATTTACTGTGGCTATCGAAGAAATTGAAGGCAATACAGGATTTACCTTCCGTTTACTAACAGTGTTAGGCGGTAATTAAAATTGTGATATTCAAGTCCCAAGCAGAGGCGCAGTAAACAAATAGTTGACAGGGGTGCTTTAGACCACCCCCGGGAGTTCTGAAGTTATTCCGATCTGCTTCTAAGCAATTACAAGCCAGTTTTATGATAAATCTCTAAAATTGAAGCTCCTTTCCCAGTACTTTGGAATTTGGAGTGATTCGCATATCCTCTAGCTTCGCTTCTTTCTGCCTTATTTTGCGTTTAAAGTCGTTGAATATCCAAGCCTACAATAGTGACCCTGGATCTGCTTACCGGAGTTTCAATCTCCACAGTCCTCCACCCGCCTGCAAATTAATTGTCTACTCACTTGCACGAGCGTAACATGAACTATATCACAAAGCTTCACTGTCGCCAGTTAGCTATCCTCATCCCTCTGGCTGTAGGTCCCGCGACACGATCGAATTTTTATATTTGCCATCATTAACCTGGTAGCTTGCTCTATATGCAGAATTCATCCCATCCTTGTAAATAAAAATTGAGTTGGCCGAGCCCCATCGACACCATTAATAGTATTTGCTGTTGGCATGGTACCCATATGCAGTAATGGCTACCTTAGAGGAGCCAGAAACCAAACCATCCCCTATGACAATCCGGCACAGATTCAATAATTACCTATATCTATATAGGCTTTACCAACACCAAAACTGAAACACGTCTTAACACTTGACAAAAAAATGGTATTTTTGGTGCCTCTTGCACTACAATTATCTAAAAAAATGACATAAAAACATCCTATTGAGAACATGAGTAGTAAATGGTATTGAGCGCAAAAGTACCCTCTCAAAAAACACAATGAGAAGGGCGAACTCTTTTTAAGTTATTCGCCCAAATTTGAAGAAAAGTGGAGAAATATGTACAGAGTAAAATACGAAGAAAATTTTGAAGATTTTAACGGCGACTGGGATTCAGTGGGACCGTTTGCCAAGTCTTGCATGTACTACAAACAATTTAAAAAAAACAAATCGAAATGAAAAATGTAATTATCGATTACAAATAGTATGAAGATAAGCTAACAAAAACATAACAGTACATCTATTAACAAACTGCATAATTTCTTAAAATACACGCGCTAAACAGATAACTTTTAATTTAAACAGCGAGCACTCCGTGAGTGAAATGGCCAAATGCGCGAGTCAGGCTTATGTTGTGAAAGAAGTCGAATCACGATACAAAGAGGCTCTACGAAGCAAGCCTCCCCCCCCCCACTCCCAGCCAAGAAGAGCGTTGAAAATATTTAAGTAAAAGGGACTCTGAATTACAGGCTACTCGCAATAAATTTTATGGAATGGTACTTGGCAATTTCTTTCAGAAATCAATAAAAGTAAGCTTGTTGATTGCAATTGAGACTACGAGACTAGAAGAGAGCAAAAAACGAATGATCTGATAGCGATCGCGAAGATTTCACCGAAACTATGCAGAAAATGTTGCAGTATAATGATACCAAAATTCTACTTTTTCCAACAAACTTAATTGAACGTTTCAGTTAATAATGCATAAAGCTAAAGAACATTTCTCGAGCTAAGCAGACCAAATTTTTCCAAAGTGTCATGGAGTATGTTTAGCCGCTGAACTCTCTCCCAAATACTAACCTGATAGACTAGCATGAACCTACTGGGAGTTGTCGAGGGCACTAATCACCATGCCAGTACTGCAGAGACCCTTCACAGGTAATGACCAAAAGCGGCTTGTTTTCGATTCAGGGGTTGGGCTGGATTGAGACTGCTATAGACGATATTGGCAACTATTTTGAGTAAAACGGTCACCAAAATAACATTCTCCGCCTATTGAAGTTGTTAATCTATTCAATTTTTCCTTCACCTGATGTGACCGTCAAATTTACCCTGAATAGCTGGTGCTACTATAGACATCGATTCCAAGAATAATTAGAAGGACGTAACATTACGCAAGCGCCCTATTCCATTCATTTGTCAATACTAATTAATGCAATGGATCATTCAAATGACTAGGTAAATACAAAGGTGTATAAAATACGGGACCTTCGACTTTGCAAGAAAATCGTCGAATACCAGCTTAAATACGAATTTCAAATCACTATTATTTCTATCTAAAGTAATGGTTGAATGGATCGACAAGTTTATCCTACGCTAATATTTCTATCCGTAAAGCTCGAACGACCTAACTGAAAATAGTACTCACTGCAAGAGATAGCCCAGAAGACTTCGGGGTATCAGTGAGGAATAAAAAAGGCATAAAGGTTCAAAATACAAAACGTACCATTTTTAGGACTAGCTTCAAAAATCCCAGCAGATCGACGGCCGTTTGAAGGAAGGTAACCAAGGCGACTCTTGGCAGAAACTCTAGGCACAGATTGTGATGAGACGGTTGAAATAGGAGAGAACCGCCGATTTATTGTACGAGAACTATCTCTTAAAAATGAAATATCAACCATAATAAAAAACATAGATCATATAAAGACAGTGATCGTAACAGTAGACCTTGACTGTGATAAACGTAAAAATAGCTTGATATTTCTTGTTCAAATTACAACAAATAACGTTTAGTATTTTGACACCTTTACAGCTTCAGACAATTTGAGGATCTGACGAGTCAATCGAAATACTGGGTGGCATTGGCACAGTCTAAAAATTAATTTGTTCAGGCAATCTTCGCAAAGCCAACTGTCTTGAGGTAACTAAACTGTCTTCCTTACCCCGGATGCGAATTCATTAAAATATATCAATAATTAGAAAGCAAATATATAACAGCAAACCAAAACAAAATAAATTTCTGGGCTTTATAATAACATGACGAATATCGGACTATATCGATCCCCGTCTAGTGAGCCTTCGCATTAATGCATCCACAAATAAAGAGGAGGTCAAGATGAACGTCTGCAAAGCCAAAAATCGTGAGTTCGAGAGCATTCGGTGTACAACGATGAAAAATCCGTCAGCAGTGCATTGGGGAAATAGCGCTTTCGCATATTTGTGGGGATCGAGGATTACCACCGTTTAAGCAGATGGAGTATTATAAAGCATCTACCTAATAGGCCCAAAGGTTTCATTTTCCAGCCATCCAATAAGTACCAGTTAGAGTAAAGGAAGAATAAAAATTTATTCTTCTAATAAATAATGGAAAGCTTCGATAAAAGAGACTTACGACACCGGATTTGCACTGACACTAGAAGGAATTGTGTTTTTTAGTATTCCTTGATATGGCAAGCTATCTGTACTCTCCAAACGCCTTGATTTGTTCAGTGGAGTACCAAGACGAGAAAAGATTGATTCACTTGCCGATCGTTTTAGCTTATTGAAATTACCTTGGGGCCGCGAGACCTCAGCAGAGTTTGCAGCTAAAGATCGATTCACAAGCCGAGAGAAGACGCTTTTTGCATCTGTTGGCGACGGTGACCGCTTCAATTTTACTTCGGCTCCAAGACGATCAAAAACTGATGAGCGGCAGGATCCTGAAGAGGATCGCACATTTGTAAGTCGAAAATCAGGACTCGTACTGTAAAAGCAGAAAGAATATTTAATGCTACGGAGCAGTCAATGCCACTATTTGATAATATTTGTAAAATGAGCTCCTTTATTTGTGAGACGAACTTCGAAAATGACTACTCAATGAGGCTGACGGATTAGACAAATAGCAATCGTGCTAATGACATCAAGTGCCACTTCGTTAATCAGCTTAGCAAAGTTGAAATACTAATATATCATACAGAATTAAAAAAAACTACAAAGTTCATTCACGTAAGAATTTTCCAATATTCAATTTGAGGGAGGAAAACTTTGCTACAAACCCAAACTCTATCACCTCCAGTACAGACCAAACTTGACCAATGGGTAATGACTTCTAACTTCTAAGATGTGGACATTAACCAAAAGACTCCTAAACATTTAAGAAATACATATCACGGGTATAATTATATCAAAGAACAATTGACCGATTTCAAACTCGTCTACGGTAAATACCTTTAGGGTTAATATGATCAAGGTTAGTGACTAAGAGCAAGTTTCACAACAGAGTTTCGAATATTAAAATTATCAGTGACAAAACAGTTTTTAATAGTTAATAATTAATAACAGAGGCGTCGTCTAGCAAATTAAGATTAAATTGTACATAATATGGAATAACTAGCATGTAAATGGTCGGGATTGTGAATCAGAACAAACGTCAATGAAAAATGACTTAAACTAGAATACATCCAAATATGTACATCATATGATGTGAAAGAAATATCAAAACAAACCTTGAAATGGTAACTTCAAAATTGTCATCATCACTCTCTTCATCGTAATCCTCTTGGACAGTAGGAGGAGACGTAAATATTACCTTTCTGGTCACTTGTGTCGAGTTATTTTGCGCTACAATATCTGGAATAATTAGTAAATATGATTTACCCTTAGATAATTTTTGAAGAATCTGACGAGTCTTTTCAGTCTTACCCTCAGGTAGCTTAACCACATAAGAACCTTCTATTTCCTTAGTAACACGTCTCTTGACTGGAACAGGTAGTTCGTGACCAGGAGGAATGACGGGTTTCTCTGAATTTTGTGTTGTAGAAGAAACAACAGACGAAACTTGAACCTCGGATAATTTCTACAAAATGAATAAAACTCCGTAAACAACCAACCTCAATATCCACTGACTTGATGTGCTGAATAATTGTTATTATATCGCCAACAGCAGTAATACCCATTTCTCTTAAGAGATCTTTGGTTAAATGTAGGAGATGTTGCAAAGTCATTCGATTCTCAACAAAAATTGTGCTATATTTCAGCGACAAATCGGCACTCAATCCAGCATCGCGGAAGAATTTAGCCCAGAAGCTCTTATCTGAGAATGGGTTGGACACATGCATCGCTCAAAATGAAAAGCAAGAATACTAACGTAGGCATTCAACTTACCCGCCATTTTAAGTCTAACAAAAGCACTTCGAAGTTTTACAGATTTTATCAGAAATCTATAAAGTCCACATTATTTGTAAAATTAAATATACTCGTTATAATTAATCTAGCCTGTTTAACTCCATTTTTTACTGAGAAGTAAAATGAAATAACATAATAAGAGCGTACTGTTATTGTTTTCTCAAATAATTTTCCTACTTTTACTTTTCGACGTGTCTTAAAATATGGCAATTAAGATTAATGCACTTTTCAAAGCATAAAAATAGTGTTCGTTATTAGGGAAAAACAAAACCTACCCGAATTTCAATCTTATACAATAACAAATTTGAAATCCGTGCTAATACGTCGCATCGAAAATAATTTTACATAATCTAATTGTGGCCGCGTATTGTTGTTAGAGATAAAGTCATTTTCGGGATTTCGAATATAGTCAAAAGTCATTTTCTTGTGTTTGTTTAAAGATTACAAAATCAAAGTTTATCCTTCATACAGATTTACTTATGAATCTGCACTTTATTTAAAATTCAAAATTATGTTTGAGGCTAACATAATTGTTAACCACGTTAATAAACGAAAGTTTTGAGAGCAGCTTCCATTTTCCATTTTGCAGAGATTACTTATTGTGACACACGGGGTGTGCGATAGACTTACCGCCACGTGGTGCACCCTGGGAAACGTATACTCATACGGCAAAAAAGTCTATTAATCGGCAGTTGACTTCGGACTTCAGACTACCATGACCCCATTGCATTTCACATTCGAATAATTCTACAGTATTCAACTCACCTTTTTTCTACCTTTGTGTCTGTCTGTCTCTTTTACGTCTGTGCATCATTATTCTTCCCCCTCTCGACTTTTTACCACTTGGATGTTCATCTTCCTTTCTGTGAAGCCCGAAGTCAACTAAAGGGCTAATGATACCTATCATAACGCCTGCCATTTGA